AAAGCAGAAAAAAGATAACTGTTCTAACATAAGTACATTATGCATCTTACTTTTCTGAACTAATGGAACAAATTTTTCAACATAATTTGCAATTTTTTATCTTTATGATTATCTGATGTAATATGAAACACATTTGATTATCAGCAATATTTGTCTTTTTATAACATCAAACACATTTTATATATTTTAGTTATCAACACATTATTCTGTTACTTTGTATTTCAAAAATGCAGTGAAATGGTGCCAGAAGGGACAGATTTAGCAGCAGGATTTTATTATTGTTTCAAATCAACAATAAAATACCCTGCCTTCACAACAAAAGCTTGTATCCAGGCAGTAGGAAAATGTCAGAAAGAAGTATTCCTGACAATGAAATTGAATTTGAAGCTACATAACTAATTGCAAATCTAAAAGTGACAAATCAAGTTCAGATTTCTAGTCAAAAATATTAATCTTTTTTTCAAAATCTTAGCTGCCTGCTATTCACAACTGTTCCCTAAAATGTAAATATTTACAATTTGTTTCATTTTGGGTTTTTGAAAGAATTCACATTCCTTTGCACTCTTTAGTAACGGTTGCTAGGCTTTTGGACCAAAACCATAACCATATTACCATAGCTAGCTACATGAACGTAAGTGAAAGACTTTAGTCATGAGACATCTTCTCAAGAGCTTCAGTTTCCAGTGCATATGAGAAGTTTGGGTTCAAAAGCAAGAGCTGGTGAAAAAAAAGTGGGAAAGGACAAAAAGAAATGAGGTGTTCTTCCTTTTTTGATTCGTAGACACAGTTATTAGCAACCATTGGCTATTGGCATCAGTATGGCTGCAAAGTGTGCTCGAGCGCTAAGGTACGAATGGGGCTCTGTGAGCTCACCCCCCGGGTAGGCACGGCTCTGTTTGAAAGGACGTGCTCTGGCAAACCACAGCCACCACTGCGGTTGCTGGCACCCCCGGCACGCTCACAACCGCTATTAAAGATACTCCCACCTTCCAGGGGTCTGAGTAAGTGCCCTTTCTGCTGTATGTCTACTTGCAGTGCTTGAAAAAGTCATTATAGACTGGCTGGAATAACAGCAGAAATCATACAGCTATTTTAGATGAAGATCCATAGGAGTCTAGTAGAGGTTTTCATGATACGGTTTCAAATATTACAGTTGACACTACATTTTTTATGTGCTGAGACAGCAGTCATGCGGGAAAACAACTGCTAAGCTCATGGCCTTGGCATGTCTACTTTGTTTTTTCATTTTTCTAGATACAGGTCTCAAGCTTGCAGCAACAAACGCCTCCTTTCCTACCCTGCTGCCAGTATAAGACTTTCTCAGGCCCTAAAATACAAGTTGTTTGGGGGAAAGCGGGGTGTGCACAAGTTGTGTCTGACGCCTATTTTTGAGTTAAGCTACCTATTGAAGGAAATGATGTAGAGGATAAAAAAACATGCCCAGCGCTAACAATGAGCTCTAAGAATAAAAAGAGGTGACATAAAGATTATTTTTCCCTATTCCTCAGCACTATCTCCAGCTTTATGATTGAGTTACCATTTTTTCTGGCCCCTCAACTCTCTTTTTTTCCTTTTCTTTGGACATGAGGTCTTAGAACAGGACTGACTGGATAATGACATTTTCAGGTAGAAAAATAGACTATCTTTTGTGCTTTGCAGCATGCACAGTATCCCTGGGAACAATGCAACAATATTTTTCATAGAAAATTTTTGCGTTCCCCATTTCCCCATGTTACCCGTTTCCCTTTGACATCCTAGAAACAAAACCACAAGCGAGAACACCTAACTGAGCAAGCCAAACCTATAGTCGGCAAGCTCCCTTCCTGAAACAAGTTCTATGCTGTCGCACGGTAGTACATGCAAAGTGAAAAAACGAAGGGGGAAAAAAAAGGGGGGGGGGGGGGGGGGGAAAAACAAAAC